ACATGACAATTTTCTCAATCTTTAAACCCGGTAAAAAGAACATATATGAAATTACCTCATAGCGAAAAAGTATTTACCCTTTACAAATATGAAGATTTCCACATATAAAATAAATAAAATATCCAAAAACTTTTACCTCTAAATCATCTATTACATTATACACGTCACCAACGAATTCATACCGCAAGTATTACAAATACTTAGTATCAAATATTTAAATTATTTCCATGCACGTTTATTTCAACTTAAACGTATACCAAATTCCTACAAACATAAAATTCACAAAATAACTATCATTTCATTAAAATATAATTAAATTCAAAAACACTACTTAAAATATAAATGAGCACATACATTAAATTAATAAAAATTACCTTACAATCCTAATTACTTTAAACTAAATCATTGCTAATAACAATTTTCCCAATAATACCAAATTCCTTTCCACCTTACATTTAGAACATTGCATAAAAATAATACCTTCAAATAATTAAAAATACTAACTTACCTAATCTTCTTCAGAATTTTGATTACGTGGCGGATACACTTTTCTAATTCATTCAATAAAATTATTGAAAGATTTTTTTCTGCGAATTTTTCCTCCATACTTCCTCCGCTAAATAAAAAGCAAACTTCTCTTTATCACAATGCCTAAATACCCATTTCGAATTCACTTTAGTTAGGGCCATGGGATCCAAAAATTACACAACACTGTTTCACACAACACAGAATAAAGCTAAATACAAAATTTCCACTTTTTTCCCGATTTCCCCCCTTTTCCGATTAAAGAACCGTAATTCGTCCATTAATATCACATGACATATCCCATGATCTCTCATTTCCCTCACGCAAAATAATGCGTAATCGGAACTGAGTACTGCTCACATTATTACCAAAGTCCCAGGTAGTAACCTTTATCGCTTCCAAAATGTCGCCAAACTACCAGTTACCATATTGTAAAGATCAACCTAAATTTTATTTCAGAGGTCATAATCGAAATGAATGTTTTCAATATAAAGGACTTTATTTCTGTATACGTTTTACTCATGAAAGTAAGTAATTTCATTTATTAGTTAAATAACTGTGTGACTAATAGTATACCACTTGACAAGATGTAAGCTATAAATAATTTAAAAGGAAAGAAAAAGAGATGGGAAAATTGTTTAATTAGTAACTACGACCAAATTACTAAAAAGTAAAAAAGGTGATTTGTGGTACACGTAAGACCATTAAAGCTCTCAGAAATTACCACCGCATTATGTAATATATCTAAAAGCGGACTTTTAAGCTAAAAACGTTTAACATGAATGATTAGCTGACTCTGAATATAATATTTTTATTACCTCATTCAAATTAAGCCAAACTAACGTTTGGTCAAAATATGTCTCTTGAAACGTTTTGATATATTCAGAATGTATGAAAATTAAATACCTAATAAAACATATCCTTTCATTTTGCACTTCAGTAAATACATTGCATCACATCTCACAAGTTCCTAGTTGGTAAACGCTATAAACATGTAGAGACATTAGGTATTTTTTGGAAGCAGGCAAGATTAAAAATTAGCAACGCCTTCGCCTGGAATCGAACCGCGGACCTCTGGAATACCGGCCCAGTATGCAGAACCACTACACCACGAAGGTATGCCAAGAAAATAGGAGAAATACCTTATATACTCCTCCTTTTTAAAGGGCGATTGGGGATTAGGAGACCCAATTGCCAAATTCCGGGTGTACAGATTCATCATCCACAAGCCTTTTAGTTCGGGACACTGTAGAGACATTAGGTTATTTGGAGGCAAACGAGATGAAAAATTAGCAATCGCCTTCGCCAGCAATCGAAGCACGGACCTCTGAAATACCGGCTCAGTTACAGCACGAAGGCACGCTAGGAAAGTGGGAGAAATACCTTATAAACAAATTCCCAAGTTATTCGTCAAGGATACTCGTAATCCTGATAAAGCCCTTTTTTGAATCTGGAAAAGATTCGGGCTTTACAATGCATGGTTCAAGTCTATAAAAATAGTTAATTTGGATAGATGCTATAAGAGGTTATCAGTACGTTTCAGAGCTCATTTTCTTACGTGTTTAGATGGTGCGCTTATTTTCAACTAAGGAATAATTTCTGGTTAAATGACACAAGTGACGACTGTCCATTCGCTTAAGTAATAGCAAAAAAACTATTCCTGTTAAAGAATGTCATTTCCAACATAAGAAGGCAGAAGAGACCCAGGAGATCATATCGAGAGGTATTAACTTTGATTTTAATGATCACTTTCGTTTCAGAAAGCGACTGCCGATGTGAATACTCCAGCTTGTCGCTGATTCCATTATTAGGGTTATGACCCTAATTGCATCTCACTGATTGGTTTGGAATTTTGTATTATTTGGATTACCACAAAACACACGAGGGCTATCAGCTTAAATGCAGAGGTTTCTTCATGAAGCATATTTTAATTAAAACTGGCTCATAATCGCTTCACATATGGGGAAAACCATAGAAACATCCCATGAAGCCAGCAGGCTTGCCAATATCTGAAAGCGTAATGAGTTACTAATGCTCAGCAGTCTTACCGTTCAGCCGCTGGTGGGTTGCTAATAACAAGAAAGGTAGATTTTAAGCATTAATTCATTTTCATAATAAATCAATGAATCTAAGGCAAGGAAAATTTATATTTCGTCAAAATAATGAAAATATTAATTTCTTAAGTTACAATTAGTTGAAAATTATACCATGAATATATTTGATTTTAAGAAAGTTAAAATCAAGTAGCCCCATCTCCTTTTATACTCGTCACTGACTATGCAACACAGGGAACCCATATTCGCGGTTGATTATTCAGTACAGTGGGATGATACTCTCAACCATCCGCTGTAAATAAATGCTTAGACAGCTATGAAGATTTAAAATAGAGCATCATAGTTTTGGAAAGAGGTGGCACCTGTTGATTTCTCAACCATAATACTTCCTCATGCTAACACCCATGAAACACATTAAGCATGCATCTTAAATCAATATGTGGGAATATTAATAATAATTTAAATCACTGCATAAGAAAATCACAGATGTTGCGGTAAGTGCATTGCCAACATAAAAACGTTAGGAATCCAGGAATTCTACAAAATTCTGAAATATAAAATTTAAAAACGAATGAAATCAGTATAGTTACTAAAGTCTGAATTTTATAAATATGTAAAAGTTATTTCATGTGTTTGTTAGGCTGATACTCGGCTGACACTGAAATTCTTGTTTGTATTCTTATTAAACTTGTACTCAAATGAGAAAATTTGGTTTTTGGCATTTGGTTTCGAGGTTAAAGAATTAAATCAAACTGAACTTAATGAATTAGACTTATTTCTAAACTTTCTGATTCATTCATCCATCTTAAAAGTTTATATACCATTGCAGATCACATTACGCAAAACAGGATTTAAAGAATTTGCTGAAATTTATTCATTATCTAATGAAACTCTTGCAAGAAAAATTTTTCATCATCTGTGCTAAATGATAGTTTGCTTGATTATCTCACATGCATTTAATCATTTGCCAATAAATGGAAATTGACTCGTTTTTTAGTTACTTGAAATCAAAGGTATATACTTTGTCTAACTCTATTTACTGAATCATCTTACATTTATTGGAATTTAATTACAATAATTCTAATCAGTAACTGAGAAAATAAATGTAAGGTTTGCATTTTGTTTTCTTTACTTTTACAAAGCGTGTACAATTCCATGCACAAAAATTAGACAAATTATTTGGCTATTAGACTCTCAGACAAATTAATCTATCATTTTATACTTCTTGAAGCCAAGCCTTTGTTTGTTAAGTGTACGTTTCTTTTTATTTTACTCGATTACTGCAAAGAACGCGATTTCTCCCTACCGAAGGCTAGGGACTTTCGTGAAGTTTTTTTAAAGAAATTGACTCGTATTCACATTATATATGGGGAAAATACCAGAACCTCTCAACAAAACTAACCCATTTACCGGCATTCGTAAAGGGGACGAACTACTAAAATTCATTGGTCACTCAGCCACTGGTGAATTGCTGGTATATGTATTTGAATCAAAAATACTGACAGTTAATATTTATTTGTCAGTTTTTAACTGATTATTTGTGAAGCAATGTTCTGCTGCCAGGTAGTATGTAATCTCCCAACATACATTCCAAAAAAACAATTTAAAAGGCATCATTGGCTGCTTAATTTCATATTGGAAGATTTTATGAGCTGAAAGTTTTCATTCATTTATATAAGGTGTTCATAGAGTCAGGAAAACATAATTACAAACAAGAATTATTTTAATATCATCTAGAACTTTAATGATATTTCATGCTGAATGGATAACTTGGAATGTTGATTGTATTATAAAACAGGAGCTATATACAAACTGACTTTCCCAGCTTTTTTTCTACTTTTTTCAAAGCTTCCTAAAAGAAAGAGCTTGATTAAGGATAAACCAATAAATATGGATGATTTGAAGACCAATATAACACGTTTAATTAGAGAAATTTTGCTGGCATGACTTTCAACCCTAAACTGAAAATTATCTTATTAATCTGTCATTCTCTGTATTTGTATAAACTAAATATAAATATTTAGCTATTATCGCGGTTATTCCAGGAGTCCTCTATTGGTACTAGGTGTTCCAGTGAATAGTGTTGTTGGAAGAGTAAACGTGTGCTGTAGTTGAACCCATAGTGAAACCCATTTTGACATTTCATGTAGAATTTCCTGAATTATAGAAGCTACATTAACTTCAAAGCTTCCGGATTATAATAGTATAGTTACCTTCTTCATATAACAATTTTAAAAAAATTTAAGGTTCTAAAGTACAGACAATTCCCTCACAGAAAGATGTTTGGGTGGCCTAAATACCTGACCTGCTTTTAGAATTGAGTATATATTTTAGATTACTCACTTATCATGGTATAGCATTAGATTTCTAAATACCGTGCAGATAGTTCCTTTTTGAAATTAGATTTTTTGACTTAATATCTTATAATAACTGCAGCTTTTCTTGAAAGCATTCACTAACCTAAAAATACATATTTAAATGTACATGAAAGCACAGACTGCATTATTCTGTATTAGGAATAATACAGAGGAACTAAATTAAACCTAGTTTAGATGTTAAGTGTTGCAATAATATATTTTAATTTCTGAGATTCAAGTTAATAAACTCGCATACACTCATCTGATACCCTAGTAAAATCATGATTAAAATTATGTTACCATTAGTAGGAAGTTTTTAAATATTAACTCACAGACTAACAGTCCAAGAATTCTGTCTAATATGGAAACTGCATGAATATTTTCATTTGCTTTTTCTTTTCCAATGGGAACTGAAAAAGCAACAGCTTTATAACTAGACGACAGAATTTACTATACTGAATATATTTACTTCAAAACAATAAACCTTTATATTTACTTCTCAAGAAGAATATTGGATGGCTTATTACAGCTTTACTACATTGTTCTAAATGACTGGAATTAACTTTTGTGACAAAGAACATCTCGGATTAAAGCAATTTTATAAAGCGGTGGGCGAGTTACAAGATATGTCGTATCAAAGAAAGAATTTAATTAAGAAACAGTTTCGTAAATTAGGATATGATGTTACCTTATGCGATTCGGTTATAAAATATTTTGGAAGAATTATTGCTGAAATTTATTCAAACATACGTGATCATTGCTAAATAAATTCGAGCTAGAAAGAAACATAAGCATACTGGTTAAAAACTCTTTGAAAGAATATGAAAGATTTGCAACAAATGTTCAAAATGGAAAGAACATTAGAATTCCTGAAATTCTTACTAATCGATTGTTTAATGGCTGAAATGATATGAAATGCTTCTGAAATAAAAGTTTCTACAAAACTCCCGCAAACCAAGAAGCCATTTGCTTTTCAGCTTGGGGGAGGAAACAGAAAATGTTTTATCTGAAAAGGAAATATATTTGTATCTAAAAAGGTTTTATCCAAAAAGGAAAAGGCATTTTGCAATTAATATTTCTTTTCTTTACTTAGGTTCTTTGCAAAATGAGAGGTGCTAATGACAAGTTACTACAAAAGCACAAAACATTAAAATGAATAAAAAAGAGAACTGCCTTTAAAAGCATTCCAATTTTGAATAATCCAAATATTTTTTCAAATATTTAATACGCTTTTAGCTGAAGTTTTCTATCTTTAAAAATTTGCTTAAACATCAAGTTTATGAAAAAAGCTTGATAAAATGAATGTATGAAAGCACACTTCTGTATTCGAATTTTCAATTAAATATATATTAAATATTCAATAACTAAACTATCTGGTCTCTATATAGTATTGATATTCGATGCAATGTTCAGCGATTTTATCAAGTATATATATATATATTTGCAGGTAGTAAACCTGTGTAGTGTACATATTTGAAGGTAGGCAAAAACAATGAATATGTTCTCCTCTGTCGGTCTATAAAACTAATTATTATTTTGAATAACTATTGGATAATGAGGAAAATTACAAAACTAAAAATTAAATTTCTTACTCTCCTTTAAAAACTCGAAAAGAATTTACGTATCTCCTACTAGCCACAGTACTACATATTACCAATATCCTTTGAGCTTGCTGTGGGTTATCACATCATGTATGACATAAAATCTGAAATTTTACTGTGAATTGAATAGGATATTATATCTCTAACATAGATTTAAATGTTTGCCTTATATGCATTTGCTAATTTTAACAACAGTTATTTGAAACATCTGAAGGTAAGATGCAATTACCGGGTGTAAAACATTTGTTGCAAGGTTCAGTTGTCATTGCACATTAAGCAACATTCTTGTAATTATTTAAGATAATTTTACTTTTGCAAAATTTTTAATTTATTGCTGCTTTTAAGTTAAATATTTAATACGTTATTCAAGCAAATATAAAACTGATCTCTTTCTTTCATTTCATATCTCTCATTTTTTGAATGGATTTATTATCTTTTTGCCATCTAGATTCTCCATCTATCAGGAGTAATTGTAATTGTAGTTTTTCCATGAGAAGCAGATTTACCTTTTCACTTACTTATTTGTACTTTTGCAGCAATCGAAGCACGGTTAATGAATTTAACAATTTTAGGTTTCCTCTCTTTCTTTTACTGTTTTATTTTAACTAAACATAAATACTAACTATATATAAATAAAACAATTTTATTTACCTTATTTGACCTAAGAGAAACTTTGCCACCACACCGTGCACAGCAACGTACGTTACAATAATTGCAGACATGACCTATGCCATCAGCGAACTTAGTTTTTAGGCAGATTTGGCAAGTAGCGTCTAATTCGATACCTTTCCTCCGCTGCTCTTCATTCCTCATGCGGATTGCCGTCTCAAGGAGTCGGACTTCATCCTGTTTCTTCCTACAAAGGAAAAGAAATGGGGAAAAATTAAAACTGTGTTTTCTAAAATGTAAAGCTTATTTCTGCATTAAAAAGGATCAGTGCTTGAATATCTGTACTCCAAAAATAAGTCGATGACTATTTAACGGTGAGGTTATTGCTTGATCAGTTTTGAAATGATGGATAAAAGCTCCAATGAACTTTCATCGGCAGATTTGCTAAGAAAGCATTCATACGATCACTTTTTCGTCACTAACGCTATAATATTAAGTAAGGAAAGTCAACTTAGTTCGCACCTACGGAAAGGTTCAAGCCATAGCCAATCAGGGATCATAGAGCCGAGGCCTGAATGCCCATCTGACGCAGAGCGTTTCCGTCGCTGTAACTGGTTAGCTCTTATACTAATCACAGCTAATTAAGGTAAAACGTTAAGCCCGTTCACATGCATAGCTTCTATGTATGTCAGTTAGCTGATGTAGGTGATAAAGTTGTCCTGTATCAGGTTCTTCTTTATGGCGCATTCAGAAACGAGCAGTCTTCAATTCCTTTCGCAACTGATTTCAAAGCTAAAGGACTGACGTTCTTTACCATTTCACTGGATATGATATGAATTTGTTTAAATTACATTTTTGACTTAGGTTTGAAATTCTTTTCGCAAAAAACGTAACACAAGCATGTTTCTAATAATTTAATAGCTAGTTTGTTGCTCTGCAATTATGTTACGTAAAAAAGAACAGGAATGAATTTTATAAACCTATACTCTTGACTTTACTGCATTTCTTGAAAGCAATGCTCTCTGCACATTGAAAATATCCAAAATAATAAAATCAGTAAGAAAAATAAAATAAAAAACTCAATAAAACTTTTTAAAATAAATAATGAAGATATTTATTTTAAGTGATCGCAAGGATCGCAGTGATATATATTCAAAATATATATCACTGAGTTCACCAGCTGCGAAAAACTTAATTTTTATAAACGTATGCATACCTTTAAAAAATAAAATACCTTAATTGTTTTGTTCTAAAATGCATTTTTCCCTCAAATATACACTTCTAAAATCGAAGGATCTCAAAATTAAAACTTTATTTTTTCGAATTTTATGACCTTTTTTATTCATACTGTGGTTTGTTTAAGATCGTTTCGTGCTCTAGGCAAAGCGTCCTTTCAAGTGTTCCAAAGCCGGTTTTCCTGATTTTTGAGGAAAAATCTAACTTTTGGGGAACCAAAGCTTGAGGACGTAGTAATCAGACACATAGTACACATGGTTTGTTCTTATGTATTCAAAAGATTTTGCATTGCTAACGTAAATAATGATTAGTAATTAATCAACATAATATAGATTTAATTATGCTTTTATAATTTCTCTTGATTCTCCATTCATGTGCTTCCAAATTTTCTGCAGTATGTGGTAATTTTACTTCAGCATAATATAATGGTAATCCTAGCAACTTTTACAGCTCATCGAGAGTAAAGAAATTACCTTAAAACTGTAATGAATTAAATATATGTGTGTAGCTTAATAATCGATACATCCAATTTCACATACCCAACACTCCTCATAGACCTTAGATTCGATTACCAGCTAGGACATCTACTTCTCTCAAAATCTGATGACTCTGCAATCGCGCGTAAAGTAACATCTAATAGAGAATAACTCATCGCCACCTGGATTTGGTTTTGATGATTAGCAAAAGGTGGCTTTATCTGCTTCCTAATTTATCCTTTCAGTGATGGAAAATGCAAGAAAAAATAAATTAAACGCATTTCTTCTGTGTGTTCTTATGGTGTAGTATTCAGCCCATCCACTTCTCAGTGGGAAAGAATTCGATTCGGTTACCGAAGAGGCTAAAGTTGATATTTCAAGATTTACACCTCTCAGAAGCTTAATCTCGTCAAAATGGCCAGATCAGTTCCACATTTCTATAGTTTGTTTCTTCGTACTGTAGAAAACATTGCTTGTTTTGCTAACGTAAAAAAGCAAATGAATGCGGAATAAATATTATCTCAATTAACAGGAAGGCTTTCTAGAAAGGAGGATTTCGTGGAGAATATACTAAAACAAACTGGATCGAATTGATGTTACGTATGAAAAAAACCACGAAAACCAACCATGTAACCAGCCCGTTCGCCTGGGTGCGAACCCGGTGCAATGTACGACTGTTCTGTGGTCTTAATCACTCGACCACTTGGGAGGTGTTTACAAATTAACTAGTAAATTTAGGCTTTGAAAAGCATGCACTAAAGTATTTAAATTTTAGTCTAATAATAATTTGTATTGTTTTTTATAAAATATACTGCATATTATTGCGGAAAACTGCGTAAATAAACTAAGTTTATTTTTACGCATCATAAAATTCAGTTGGATGTCATTTCTGTTTAAAGAACATTCTCGTAGCTGTTACACTAACCCGGAAGCTAAGAATCCACCAAATGACGTCACAATTCACTGATTACTTGATCATTTATTCGGTTATTAGATAGATCGATAGCACGTCTATTCACTTCTGACATAAATCGAGCGTAAAGGATCATTTCCCAGAATGATCGATGTCCTGGTGACATATTTATAAAAGTCGAATCAAGACATCGAGAGAACTTACATTTCCGATTACGTCACGTGTTACGGATCGATCACATCAGAGGCAGTTGATTCGATTAACTACTTTGGGCAATTTTTCCCGCGTTATACATCTGAACTAGAAACATAATTCACTTACCTCGTCATAGATATAACAAAAAATAGCACTTTAACCTTTAAAAATATGTTTCGTGACGAAGGATTTATTCCTTATGTGTTTCTGTTGACAATGAATATAGAATTCGCTTCCTTTCCCATCTAATAATATCTAATTGATTAAACGTCTAACAGGAATGAATAAGTAAGTGAAAACTAATAATATGTAACTACTTATATATCATGCATCACATACAAGTTAAAATTCTTAAATCAGAATTTCCTCTGTTCTTAATTACGAGGCAGAATTTCCATATGAAAAATATGAACGTGTTATATAAGTTTTTGAATCGTTGATGACAAGTTAAATAAATTAAGCTGTTGTAAGCAGACTGTGAACAAACAGTACTTTCAATATAAAAAGAAACTTAAGAAGTGATGAATATGTAGTATGTATAACAAGCAACACAATATTTAATCTTTTTAACCATATAACTTTATTCTAGGAAGGAGAATTAGAAACTCATGAACGTTGAATGGTACTATTTCTTATGCAAATTAACTTTCTGCTCGAATAAAGAATAGCATTCCCGCATAGCATAAGATTATTATTGCTCAAATAGAAAAAAATATTGACTCTGTAAAAGTAAGTATTTCACCGCATATCAATATCAAACGTTGCAAAAAAATAAATCTTATATATGAGGAGACACATATTTTAGGATTATGTAACGATTATTCGTTATATAAAAAGAGGCTCAAGGCATAAAGGTACAAAAATGACTAACATAGAACATGGTTTCGAAACAGATAATGCGCAAGAGTGCAAATACAATGCTCATTCGAAAGTACATAATACATAAATTATAACTACACTGCAACTATAAAATTAATTGATTCATTTAATTTCATTGTTTAGTGATTCAATAATTATCGTCGGTTTTTTTCGCAAATACAAACCGTAATCAAAACAGCTTGGTTTTCAAGCGCTCTATTATTTCGGCCATTAATGTCTTATACATTATATTCCGTTGTGTTGAAAAGAGATTCAAATCCTGTTGCTATAGTATTGTAGAGGAATGCAATTTACATAAGAGACTTTTAAGTAAAATAAAAAATCTAATGTGACATCTATTACAAAATAAAATTTCTTTTCAAGTGAAATTAAAAGTCGAGAAATCGCATATTCTAACCAAATGTATGGATAAATTGCTGTTATGACCTATGAATTTAATTCAGTTCTGAAATCCATAATACAAAATTGGGACAAAATCCAAAATACGGGAAAATGCTGAACTGTGACAAATCCCCCTTGAGGCAAATGCTTAATCTCATAACGAAAGTTTATTGCAGTTATAATTGATTAATCTATGAATATTTTGCTGTGTAACACTCTATGATATATTCATTCAATTGCTTTTTCCCATGATACGAAAATATAATTTTTCTAGATTTTGTCAGACAGTAAAAAAACATATACATTCCGAGTAGGAAGACAGTTACTTTTTCAATGATAAAACGAAACGATTATTTATTGCAGCATAAAATCAATAGATAAAAAAGGACAGTTAAGGGGGGCAGTTAAAAGGGACAGTTAGAATAAATTATTAATCTAAACTCTTGAAGGACATAGGCGATTCCCGGGGTCATTTTTTTAAATTCTTTCTGCAGCCATCATGCTATTTTCTGTGCTGTGGGGTTCGACTGATAATAGGGAAGTCTTAAGAGCTGCATATTAATGTAGAAGCTGTAAGGTATATTTTCTGATTATAATAGTTCTAATATTTATTAATAATTGCATTTTTAACTTGTTTAAATCAACTAGAGATCTAACTCTCTCCTCGCTTTAGTTGTTGTTTTCATTTCATTTCTGATTTGGAAAATTAAGAAGAATTGTAGTAATTTTTGCATATGAATTTTCAGCATTGCAAATTTAGAGTATATCAGTAAAACCTGCATCTCTGAAATAAAGGTATTATCAAAGCAACTTTTCCGTCTGAATGACAGGCGCCAAGCTGAAAAATGTGAAATTATATGTGAAAGGGTAGGTTGAATATTATTTTTCGGCTGAATTATGTTTTGACCTCAGAAGACGCTTTTCTAAATTAGCTCCTAGTTTTAAAAATTAATGTTCAGTGATAAATTAATTAAAGACATGGGAAATTATCTCATCCATTTGTAGAGACATTAGGTAATTTTTGAAAGCAGAAGAGATGAAAAATTAGCAACGCCTTCCCCGAGAATCGAACCACGGACCTCTGGAATACGCGCCTAGCGTGCAGACCACCACACCACGAAGGCACACCAAGAAGTCGGGGGACATACCTTATATAATCCCCCTTTT